GAGGGGCTTGCAGACCTGAAGGGGCTCTGCAGATTGTCCAAATTGACACAAAATTGCAAAACAAAATGAAACAAGGTCCAATTCCCATTTTAAAAAAACTGACATTTTGAGAGTGTGTTAAACAGCACATGGAGGGCATGTGGCTGATTTTGGAAAGGTCTTGTGGCAAAAGGCTGGGGACTAACTTGTGGAACAGACAACCTGTAGCTTCCGACTCAGGTAACTATGTGCTGGTTTATTTCTTCAACCATCCCATTTCCCCCCTTGATTTTTCTTCCCCGCCCATCCTGACCAATGGCTGCTTTAACGATCCAGTTGCAGAAGCCACTTGGGATCTCAGCGAAGGGACGGCTAGGCTTATTCCCTTGTGCTGGGATTTGTCTCTGTGCTGGTGCTACTGGCCTCTGCTCTCAAGGTGGGCCATCGAGACAGCCAAGGCGGGCGGCTGCCCCCAGCTAAAGAGGGCGCTGGGTTGAGTGACTCAGAATTTGTTGGAACAGCAAAGTATCTTCAGCCTTCGGATGTGTCAGAGTTTTGCAGCAGGGAAGGAGGAGCATGTGACCCAATACTACTTGCTGTTGGACTCTGAGTCCCATCATCCCTGGCTACTGGCTAAGGCAGGTAGAAGTTGCTGTTCAACAACATCTGAAGGGCCCCATGAGTTTCATCCTTATTCTCCGGGTTGCTGAAGTGCTAACTGCAAAAATGAATATCCAGCTATTAGCTTTCTTTTCATGTTACTGATATGTTGTTCTAGGGGAATAAAATCGGCGAAATATGGCATTAAGCACTGCAAATACCATGAACGTAAACTCTCTCTCAGAAGCTATAAGATGATGAGGGCCGTGGCATAACAGCTGAAGGTGTTCTCTACACTGGGCACTATTTATCCTCAAGATAAACACCTGCCTTGATCCTGTGCTTGCCATTAGCTCAGCAGGTGTGATCCTTGACGTTGCCTGTGTTGTGTCTAGCCAGGCTTATTAGTGTGAGTTGCAGCTCCCATTAATAGAGGCTTCAAGTGGGTAAAGGGGCAGGGCTGCTCGTCACTGCGGCCGTTTCAAAATGTAAAATGCCACTTTAGCAGCAGGGAAGCAATCTGGCATTTGTTCCAGTGAAGCGAAAGTTGCCCCTTAAGGTTAAGACAGGCAAGCCGGAGGCTTGCACATCCAATTAGGCCTGGAGCCCACTTCCCTCCAGTCTCCTTTGCTTTGTTTGGCACCTATTCACACTGTACATAATCTACACACAGCTGACGTGGCCAGTGAAGCTCTTGTCTACCTCTAGAGGAGGGCTCAGTTCAGCCCACTCCAGTTTGCTTTGCTCATTAACCTTCTCTCTTTAGCTCTCCAAACCTGCCTCTTCCAAAGCCAAGAGCTCAGTTTCATTCTGACTTCCACTTGGCCGTTCCACTTGAATCAGACAAAGGGAAGGCTTCGCCTCTTCTTTCAAAAATGCTTGTTACAGCCATTTTGTGGTTTGTAACTTCCAACCTGAGTGGGGCTGCATCCACCTGCACCTTTTTACTTGAGGGCTGAAGGCATGTGATAATTTGTACATCCAAGGATCTCTGAAGATTAGCAGAGGAGGTGCCAGCTAGGTGTTGATACATTGAAATTTCCTGAAATAAGATGGATTCCATTTCTTAATTATATGAGGAGCTCTCTGGATCTGTCTCATCTGGCTGTAATCCGTGTAATTAAGAACAGAGAGATGTTAATTAGAACCCTGAACAGACTTTTCAGATCTTTGAGGAATGCCACTCCCTTCATTCCACCATCACTGAAGGCATGTCTAACGAGGGGGCAAGGGAGATGGTTTTCTTGGTGGGGGCTCTCTAAGGAAGGAAAGAAGAAATTCTGTCTCCCTCCCTGTGGTTCTTCTGCTAGCTGGCAAAATCCTTGTTTTGTTTTGTTTAGACAAGCCTTTCTCATCTAGCTGAATTTAGATTGAAGAAGACTTGTTATCACTCTCTTCTTAATTGTCTTTTAATCTTTTTTTGTTTTGAAATTATATTTGCTCATTTATTTGAATTTTATTGTTAATCTGCTTTGATGGCTGTTTCTAGGCAGAAAGGTGAGGCATGTCTCCATAAGCTAACGGAAGGGGCTGTCAATAGGTCAGTAATGGGTCAGGTTCAGGAGAACAAATAATGGGTTCAACGGGCAATATAAATCACATAGATGGTTTGGGGAATATGTAGCCCTCTGAATAAAGTTGGTCTGTAGTACCCATCAGCCCTGCCTAGCATGCTCCAAGGGGAAATATGACAGGGCTTGAAATTAAGCAACATCTGGTGTACGCAGCCCTAACATAACACTTGTCACAATTCAGTTTTCCTGCCATTCAACAGTTACAAAAATACACAATACTTAGGTGGACTCCCATGGCCAAAAATTAGATTAAAGAAGCATGTTGCTTTTGTAAACCACTTTGACAAGACATCTGGTTCCTGCAGCCAGACAGAAATGCCTCATCATATCCTTTTAACAGGGAAATGTCTGATTATATCCTTTTAATTGTAAGCACCTTGGAAGTGACATACCCCCCTGCTTATACTGCAGATGCCTTATCAGAGTTCAGAAGAAACGTGTTCAGCATTAGTAAGAGTTCCTATGTGTTTTATAATTAGGATGAAACAAAGTTATACTTCAAAGGCAGTGTAACTTGTGGGAATGAAATCATATTATTGGTGCAGTGAGTAAGATTTTCTAGTTACTTTAAAAGGTTTTCTTTAAAAGGCATTTTATTTATCACAGAGGTAATTCTACAAGAACTATACATTTTTAACCATCTTATGCCAACACAATTCAAAAACACACACAAAAAGAAACCAAAAAGGAATGAGCAACACAAATAATATATTACTTTTAAAACAAAAATATTTTAAAACAATACAATGGGCAAAATCTTGTTTTGTACTGTAGTAAATCACACTAGAGTAAGCCCACAGAATCAATGGGGATTTGGTGAAACAACTTTTCCATAAGCTCAAATGAATCAAATGGGACTACTCTGCCTCCAATTTACTATGCTAAAATAAGTCACACAGGTAGACTGAATCAGTGGTTCTTAACCTTTGTTACTCGGATGCTTTTGAACTGCAACTCCCAGAAACCCCAGTCAGCACAGCTGGTGGTGAAGGCTTATGGGAGTTGCAGTCCAAAACTCCTGAGTAACCCAAGGTTAAGAACCAGTGGACTGAATCAATGAAATCTAATAGGAGGAGTAATGTGTTCTGTTCCAATATTGCTGTCATATCTACAGGGAGTCTTAAATACTGTTGCCTGAAAATATTTTCCTTGTATTAGCAGCTTAGTGCAACTCAACTGAACCTCTCTTTATATCCCTGTCTCCCATTCTTACACAATCCATGGCTGGAGCACAGACCACCTCATGTGTAGAGGTGTGCATCACTGCATGAGTACAGCAAGCCCAGGGTGAAGGGGCCAAAAGGTACCATGCACCTTCTGCACCAAAGAATGCAGAATCTTTTTAAATGCTTGTTTCGGAGAGCTTTAGCAGACCTCTCCCTTTGTCCTGTCTGCAAGACAAACCTACTTTTTTTATTTTATCAAGGATGCAGAAGGTGGGAGTGATGCAAGACAATGTGGTAGAACAAGAAAAGGTGAATACTTGTGCATCATCTGCCATCAGATAGGTATGAGGAGCAAACTTCTGTACAAATAAATACACTCTGGGAACAGTATGAACCTGACAGTAAGGGCTCATCGTCGTTGTTGTTTAGTCGTTTAGTATTGTCCAACTCTTCGTGACCCCATGGACCAGAGCACGCCAGGCCCTCCTGTCTTCCACTGCCTCCTGGAGTTGCGTCAAATTCATGTTGGTTGCTTCGCAGACACTGTCCAGCCATCTCATCCTCTGTGGTCCCCTTCTCCTCCTGCCTTCACACTTTCCCAGCATCAAGATCTTTTCCAAGGAGTCTTCTCATGAGATGGCCAAAGTATTGGAGCCTCACCTTCAGGATCTGTCCTTCCAGTGAGCACTCAGTGTTGATTTCCTTTAGAATGGATAGATTTGTTCTTGCAGTCCAGGGGACTCTCAAGACTCTCAAGGGCTCATAGCTACACGCATTGCCGGATTGGTTCTGGACAAGGAACAGTGGATGCAAAGCCTAGAACACCAAAAGGTGTTCTTAGGAAACTTCACTCCAGGAGGAGAAAATTTCACTGCCCCAGAAAGCCCTTTCCCAAAGGGTAATGGGCTGGGGGTGAGGAATAAGTGTATTGTATTGCAGGCCAGCGGTTTGACTTTTGGGCCATTGTTTTCATGCTCTTCGACAGCTGCGCTGAGTGTATGCAAAGAAGAGAAAGGAAATAGAATAGTATCCTGATGTATCAGATATACTTCAGAACACAAACATAGCAACACCACTGTCTTTCAGCATTCCCTTCAGGGCACTGAACATCAGGGAGTGCGGGGTGCGTTTTGAAGCAATAGATCTTCTGGAAAATGTTTTCCTGCCTTCCCTTGACCCACCCTTTCTGAGATCAGCTGCTAAGAATGTTTTACAGCTAATTGTGACACTCACAGCACTAAAGGATAAACATCTGTATGGTTAACCCCCGCATACCTATTCCAGACTCCTTCCCATGACAATCCGGGGAAGGAGGTCAGTTTCGTTTACATTAAGTTTAATTTAAAATACCGTCGAGGAGCTGAAGGTGTGAAAGCGGTAAAGATGCTGCTAGCTTGCCAGTGAGAGTTTATGGGCGTCATTTGAACTCAGGGCTCCCAGAGACGTGGTTACGGCTACACCAGGTTCCGCAACACGCGACAGAAGGACATGGGCAACGAAGCGCTAGACGGGGCCAGATCCCGAGGGGAAGGATGAGCGAAAGTTCCCGGGAAAATCCGTGCCCTTTCCCCACTTTTCTTTCCTGCGGAGTTTTGGCCAGTCCCGATGCCCTTATAAAGTAAGACCCGCGGCTGTGTAGATCTTCTCTCCCGGTCGGCCACACGTCCAGCCGGGGGCGCTGCATTCACACACAGACGCGAGGGTGGCTCTCGCTTCCTTCGGGGCCGGCGGACCCTACCCGGCGGCTGGCAGCGCGTCGAGGCAGCTGGGAGCCGCTTTCTCCCCCTCTCGGCCGACCCTCGAGGACCCGGGCCCGCCGCCACCTTCCTCCGGGCCCGCGGGAGCCGCCGCCACTCGGGCCAGCGCGGGGCGAGCAGAAGGCGCGGGCGAGGCTTGCCTTTCAGCCCGCCCGAAGTTTGGGGGAGGCGAGCGTGAGTTTCGGCGAACTTGGGAAGGCTGAGGCCGGGACCCGAACGAACGAACCCGTGGCGGGGAGCGGAGCCCGGCCCGGCGCGGCGAGGGAGGGAGGGCTCGGCCAGCCCCGTGAAAAGCCCCCTTTGTGAGAGAGCCCGCTCCGCTCCGCTCCGCTCCTTTGCCAGGCGGGCTGCCCCTTTCCACGTGGCAGCCGTCGCTGCCGCCGTTCTTCTCAAGGGAGCGTGGCCCTCGGCCATGTGTTCCTCCCTTGGGCCGGACGGAGACCTTGCGGGGCGGGCG